ACGCAAACGATAAGATGTTTTATGATGAAGATGTTTGTGACGGTCTGTATGTACGTTAAAGGCTACACTTAGTCTACTCTGTATGATTAAAAACATTCAAACAATGTTCTACTTGTAAGTAGCCTGGCCTTAGCCATCTGTAAACTCTGGTCAATTATTATGTCCCTACATGTACGTCTGGGTCTGATCCTAGTGTCTGCAGTAACCTTGGTTGTATCCCATCCGACCATTCAGCGAGCGGGGGTGGGGCGGTGACATCAAGAGTTTGCACCGAATTTGCTGGTTGCAGTTAGACAATGGCGGCGAATGTGATAGTGAAGTAATCCGTTCTGGTTCGGCTCCTAAATATCAGGAGATTGAAACAGGAGCAAGGAGAATGTTTACCTTATCTTATTGCTGGCTGAGAGCCAAAGTAGAAATGGCTCTACTCCCCGCGGGCTTTGTTTGTGGCAAAAGAGATGGCTAATGCTTGGCTAAATGCAAAATGCTAAAAGCCTCACTATTGGGTGCATTACATACGTCACGGCAAACTCAGATCCAATCGTTTTAATCTGCAAAAGAAGTTAACCCCCTCACCTGCTAACGGAGCACAATGGAGCAATAGTGCACAATTGGACAAACATTTATGCTTATGATACGACCAAGGCGTTATGACAGACAGAGACCTTTTATAGTTCCTTTCATTGTTTGAGAGTGATTTTTGAAAGTCTCTTGCACACCACAAAACACAAGCCTTTTTTGGTTTAAAAAAACGTTCTTCAAATGATACTGAAATGTGTGAAGGTATGAAAGTGATTCGTTTAGTAATCTGTGTCTGTTTTCATGATCAGATTTGTAATATACTATACAATTGCATGGGTTAAAAGTCCAAAAAGAGCTAAACACATTGAACTGTTGGACAATGGAACGTTTTGAGAATAATTAAGTTTGCCTGTAGCCGGTTGTCGTGCATTTTTACTTCATCCTGAAAATCCATCTGAAAAATCCCTAACTTTTTGTGAGTAGTAGTAGTTCTTGTGCGACAAAAAAATACATCCAGAATTTTCTCTTCTGTTTCTCATTTCAAGTGAGAAATTATAACTTTCTTTCAATTACAGTCCAAAATTCTCTTTCCAAACAAACATCTCCTAATGCCTTTGGTGCTTCCAGCTGCTTTGTCCTCAAACTACTGTGATTACATTTACAGTTCCATCTCAAATCATCATTTATGCCTCTTCACAAAAACCCTTGTTATTTTCCTCCAAAAAAAACAAAACGAATTGAAATTTCAAACCAGTGTGTCAGAGCCGTCATGCTTCTAGGAGCCCATTATCTGCGATGCAAAGCCAGTCTTTTTATTTAGCAGGACTAAATGGGGACGGTGCATACAGGCGCGCAGATGTCTGGAGTGGATTTACATTCTGGGGGGCCCTAATGAGACGTCGCTTCATAAAGTCGACATTAAAACGGAGAAAGTCATCAGAGAAACTAAACACAAATGACGGTAACGCGCCGTAAATTATGTCATTTACGGAAGGCTGGCTGACGAACACGCTCTGTCTGTCGCCGGGGAAACAAATGGTTTCTAAATGCGGCGTGGACAGATGTGGATGGGAGATGTCACTAAGTCTCTGTGTTCAATAAAACGCTAATTTAATCAAGTCTTTGAACCAAGGACCAGGTCATTCTGCAAGTGTCAGTGATGTATGCACTGGTCTCTTGTTTTTCTACTTAAAGAGAGCATATTATGGGTTATTAAAATCAACTTTTTTTAGTTTTCAACCACATTACAACGTTATTCCCATCCACACTAATGTCAGGAACTATTACATTCAATTCCATACATTTTGGTCTATTCTTAAAACACAACAGCAGTTTCAACAGATCAGAGAAAAATGCAATAATAACAAACACATAGGAGTCTTTGGTCCATAGGGGGCGGGATCATCACAGTCTCTAGATGTTAAGAAATGGCCTCAAAATATATTCTGGCAAATTCTGTCCTTTGCAATGGGCTCAAATACAAGGGCAATCTTATTTTGTGAACATTCCAGATTGTGGCTTCCCATGTCTCCCACCAGACAGGGTTTACCACTTAAGATCATCATCAGTCCATTTTACATAATTATCCATATTTTGTATTTTCTGCATAAATTATTTGACATGAAATGCCAATGTGAATATAACACGCTTAAGGGCAAGCCTATTTCATATTTTATTCTTCTTTACATAAAAATGAAAGAATTTTTTTTACTCACGTCAGCATAAAGTGTCAAAGTACCTATTTCACAATTTTTAAGACGCATGCAAAATAGTCTTTTTAACCATGTTCAAACATTGGAACTTCAGGCACAAACAGCCCAACCTTTGCCCCACCAGCTCCTTTCTCAACATTACCACATGTGAACCTATGTTGCATCCGTCCCTCAATCAAATACACAAAATATAAACACAAAACTATGCTATGATGAACAGCTATCCATGAAAGTTTTGCATGTCTGAAGTTTAACCCTGCAATCCCTCGTACACAAATTGGTATATACTAATAAATGTTGATTGATTGAAGTTGTTTTGGAATAGAAATAGCTGGGTGCTTTCAGTTGGGTCAGGGGGCCCTAACTTTCGATCCCCACTGATGTATACAATATAGTAAAAATATGAAAGATCGACACGCTAAATCCATTTCAATCTTGTATATTTGAGTCATTTATCGTTCTATATGAATGAAAAATGTAGTAAATGTTTTCCTGGAAATCTTCTCGGGACCCCCAGCTAGTATCTCACGACCCCCACTTTGGGAACCACTGATTTCAGTCATGCCATGATAGATGTCAGAACAAAGAACATACACTTTGTTACATCAAGCATCATGTTTATCCATATATTTCCTAATTGAGCAACCATTTTACATTGCAAGACTTGAAATCCACTTTATGAACAACCCAGCACTTATTTGCTGCAGCGTCATATTCCATAATCCCAGGATAGACCCTTCTATTTGTGTAAATGTAGTCCAGCCGTTTTGTATAATAATAATAATAATAATAATAATGCATCGGTTTTATATAGCGCTTTTTTGGACACTCAAAGACGCTTCACATGTGTCATTATTCATTCACTCCATACACGGTGGTGATAAGCTACTACTGTAGCCACAGCTGCCCTGGGGCACACTGACAGAAGCGAGGCAACCAGTATGCGCCATCGGCCCCTCCGACCACCACCAACCATTCACACACACACCAGACTCATTCTAGGCAATGGGGGTGAAGTGTCTTGCCTAAGGACACAACGGCAGTTTGGCACTTTACAGCCGCAGCCGCCCCACTGTGGCTGGTGTTCCCAGAGGTTAAGTGTCTTGCCAAGGACACAACGACAGTAGTCAGTGGGAGTCGATGGTGAAAGTCTTGAGCGGGGCTTGAACCCACGACCTTCTGGCTCAAAGGCCAACGCTCTACCAACTGAGCTACTGCCACCTCGTATAGTTCAGCCTCTGTTGATTAATGCTCTGGTTCTTCTTCCGGTAATAGTTTGTTTATTTGTACCTATTATCCCATAAGACTGGACGGACGAACTCATATAGAAACTTAAAATAGGAGACGAGCATTTAGAAACAAGCACATCTAAAACGATCCACGTCAAAACCGGTCTAGTCTATGTGAGCGTGTCTGTTCCACAATATAAGTCATAGTATAGTTAATACCCCTCATAAGCACATCACCTCCGCTTCGCACACTTTCCACTGGAGACGATAAATGATGCTATACCGCCCAGAGATTTCACAACGCCGATCCCCCCCCCCGACCCCCCCCCCCCCCCCAGTGTCACGCAAGACTTACTGTTAGCAATGATCGATAAAAGCAACGCACATACAACTTTACTGCGGGATCAATGCTTGCATTTTATATGATCCAATCATTTGCTTTGTGTTTAAGTCATCATTTGGAAGGTGCTTGCATTGTAGTCATGCTCCAGGCTGCTTGTGGCTACATCAGCAATCTTTTATCCCGATTTAATGCCGGAAAGCTGCTTGCTGATCCTTCCAGGCAAGAGTGTGAGCAGGGTTAAACTCAAAGAACAATCATGTTTGCCGAGGAACAGCACGGAATCTGGAATGCCTTGTAACCCCTTAGCCTTAAAGCATGAGAATTCATTGGCTGTTGCCTTTTTCCCCCATCGCAGCGGGAAGCCGGGCGCACACCTAAGACCTGAGCGCTTGCAAGAACAATGTGCTCACCTTGAAGTTTAACACTAAAGATTCAGATTTTGTGGGACAGGACGGAATTGCAGCGACTTTCAGCACGTTTCGGGGTTATTACTTGGAGGGATAATATTCTGAATAAACTTTTACGAGCTTTTAAAGGAGACTGTTTTTGCTGAACTTTTAAAACCATGTTGCAATGTTGGTAATCCAAGAAAGAGGGTTGTTTGTAGCTCCGTGCTAATATCGAAAACACATACACCATTCTCTTCTGTCTTTTTTCAAACTATTTTCAAAAAAATCATTAGACTAGGACTTAGACATAGACGATGCTGTTTTCTTCCTGTTAGAACAAAAGCATTGTCTCTTAATCAGTTAAGGGTATTTTAGTCAAACGTTCTTACCAACTGTATACCTTTAAAAAGGAGCACGCCATGTGATCCAAAATAAAGATCAAATTTCACACTTTCACAGCTCTAGATCTACTCACTTTTATAAATGGATCCTCATGAACTATACAATAGCCTCTTTGTATTGTATTGTTCGTAACAATATATTGATCATTCATTAATATACATATTTTATTTTAGTTCCCCAATTATGATGTCACATGTTCCAAATACTGTATATAATTCAACATTCAATTGGCATAAGCCAGATAATATAGCAGAACAATTGCACGTGCTGTGTGGCAGGCACAGCAGACAGTGGGAGAAAACGGAGCATCGGCGTGGGACTCGGGACAGTTTGAAGGCTAACTGGCCTAACAGTGCAGCTATAATTGGTCCGAGGAGGCGCCCAGTGGGACACGGTTGGGATGATGGGGAGTTCAGTGGAGCACAAGCGCAACCCAGAGTCTTTGGGCACAGCAGTGACACCAGCTCGCACCATGGGCTGTGCAGCACAGGCCAAAGAGCTCCTGCCGGGCCCGTAATCCGAGAGGAAGTCTGCGGCAAACACATGCCATGTGCGGGTAAACACTGGCACAGACACTGAGCAGGGACACTGGCACATGTGGCTCATGTGTCCACGAGATATTCAATATTTTTTGTATTCAACTTTTTTTTCATTGTTATTGTTATTATGTTATTTCCACACTAATATCCGAAATCTCAGGCACACATTTGCTCAACGCTTTTTGTTATAAAAAATAAGAGCAACTATTTTTGACCAATAAAATGAAGGATGTTGATGCTTAATTTTTTTTGCTGCAGTGTGGTAAAAACAGCTGCAATATCTATTATAGCTTATTATAGAGCAAAGCACACACACATTTGTTAATCTTGCTGTTAATGTTTAAATTCTGGCAAAATCTGTAATTGGACACATCAAGACAAATATCAGGTATTTGATGTTAACTTATAAAATCTAAATCCAACACTGAAAATGGAACTTGAAGATTTTTCTCACATCTTTAAGTGCGAGTTTCTTTAGAAGTTTTAGAGGAAAATTCTACCTGTGTCTCACAAAAGTAAGGTGACTGCGTCCTTAAAATCCCTGTACAGTTGCTGGATTAGCATCAAAGAAACACAGAATATCTCTTGAAGAACAAAGAAGTGCAGAACGCTTCAAAGTCACCTTCAAAGAGATAGGACGCTTCCTCCAACTTCCTCTTATACGCAACGCACACCATTGCTAATTACAAACATGGCCAATGTCAAATGAATCATATGTGTTGTATATTTTTTTCAGTTTGAATTGTTTCTCTGATCCGTGGTGGAGATTTCAACGGTTTTGTTAAGTCCTCTGAGATAACTACTGCTGTGATTTTGGGCTATACAAGAATAAATCGAATTGAACTGAATTTTATTGCATTGCATAGAAGACAGTTGTGTCATATACCATGATTTTACCAAGATAGAAATAAGCATGTACACAGTTAATAACTCATTTAACCCATTTAGCAATAAACCCAAACAGCGATGCATGATGTGAATACTCTTTAATAACATGGACTAGAATGTGATTTAGCTGAATTTGCGAAACAATCTATCCATCCATTTTCTTCTGCTTCATCCGTTGCCGGGTCACGAGGGCAGCAGTCTAAGCAGAGACGCCCAGACTTCCCTATCCACACACACTTCCTCCAGCTCGTCCGAGGGGAACCCCGAGGCGTTCCCAGGCCAGCTGAGAGACATAGTCCCTCCAGCGTGTCCTGGGTCTTCCCCGGGGTCTCCTCCCGCAATCAAAACAAAACAAACAAAATCTTTGTGACCGGATTTGGAGAAAGTTTTGCGGTAACATGTTGGAGCTGAAATCAGTCAAAATGTATTTGTGGCTGAATGACTCCGGTTTTCTTCCAAAAATCCAAAATATTGGTGCAAAGCAGTGACTTGTGGCTAAAGTTTGCGGATATACTTGCAAGTCTACTCTGTCACTCCTCATAATATTACTTCATATTTCCTCAGTGTGACTAATTTGTCACTGCTCACATGGCAATCTCTTTGGGCCGCTTAGAAAGGCATTGAAAAAATATCAATATCTTTTTTCACTTTGTCATAAGCCCATAACAAAGGCATGTGTCCCAGTATTCACAATCCACAAAGCCCCGTTTACATCCAAACATGTACTTAACCCGAGCCACATTATCTGTCCTCACAGCCTCGCATCCTCTGCCAGTCTGAAGCAAATCCGCGCACATTTGTCGCTTCTATTTTTGCACGCGAGCGCAGGACACCGCCACACGAGCAGCTGACCAGTGTCCGGGGGAAGGATAAATAAATAAAAAGAAGAAACAATCTCGCTCCGTTAGCTTTCATCCCGAGGCCTCTTGGTAATTCTAGCCCAGTCAGCAGTGCCAGTGCGCGGCTATGTGCGGTGTGGAGGGTGGTAAGGCGATCTCCCTCTTGGTTCGGGACCATTGTAGCGTGTATCCTCTTTGTTTTAGGGGGTTTTATTAGTCTAACCTGGTTTGTGAGTGTGTGTGTGCGTGTGTAGGGGTGGAATGCAGTTGTGGAGTTTGTCCTTGGAGTGATTCCATCCCACTCTACAGCAACTCCATTGCTTTGAACATAGAAATTAAGCTTGTTTTTATCATGCAAAACCATGTTTTGAGTTGTTTTAACCTTGTTACAACATTGCTTCTCACAAAAACAGAGCAGAAGTTGGCTTTAGAGGCTGCCAAGCTTATATCAGTATCTTTTGGCACAAAATTTCCCCTTGCCCCAAACAACATTGTAAAACCAATTACACGATGACAAATCCGCAGACCACGGCGTCATACTGTGTCACGATAAGTATTGTTTCCAAAGTAGTTTTGGAAATTGAACCTGCCACATTGCAACTCACATTGTGTGCCTCAATTGCAGACATAGTAAAATTGCTGCATGAGCTCCTGAGTCCAGTACAATTCATATACAAAGACCAGATTTCCCACAAAAGTGTCCCTACATTTTTATCACATTGTACATTGTATATCTCTTACAACGTTTCAGGGCTACCCTTTTGCACATATTTTTTCAAAAAAGGGTTAATATCAAAAATATAAAACTCCAACAATTTTTCTACCAATAGATGGAGGCGGGTTACTCATCTTAACCATGACTTTATTAATTTTTCTGTAGTATATTTTCTCCTTATCACTTAACATTCTGAAACTTGAAATACCAATATAAGTAAATAAATAAACCAAGTCAATAAATGAATATACTTTCAAAATGCTGCTGTATTCTCTGACTTACAACACAACACTGGCACACTGCTCTTCCCCAAAGCTTCATTTATTTCTCTAGTATCTCATTCCTAAGTTGACACATTCCAAAGTGCTAGTCAAAACAAACCTCACAGCACTTTCTCCCTGTCTGCCCCACCCCCAGCCCCATCAGGCAAATAAACCACACTAGAATCTAGCTGTCCTTATACTAGATTTAAAAACATCTAAAATGTATGTTTGGACTGGCATGGCAGCGCGTTGGTAAGTAATCTAGTAAGTAATCTTTATTTATATACCGCCTTTTCACTGCAGATCTGAGTCTCAAAGCGGTTTACAGTTGTTAATTTGTATTTATTTTTTTGGGCATTTGTCTCTCACTCCACACAGAGATGGGAGCGGGGTTGCCAGTACAGGAGGCGCATGCCAGAACTATTGGACATATTTTTAGTGGTAGGGGAAACCGGAGTACCCGGAGGAAACCTACGCAGACACGGGGAGAACATGCAAACTCCACTCAGAAAGGCCCTGGTCCGACCGGGATTCGAACCCAGGACCTTCTAGGACGGCGGTTGGTCGCCGTTTTAGCTGATTTGGCCCATGTCTGGGGGGTGGCGGGTTAAACATATGGGAGCTTTCATTCACGGTGACAGCAGCGGGACCCTGCGGTGACCTCCCTGTCAAGTTGCTCGCATAAAATACACAGATGCAAAACGGCCTAAAACAAGACAGCGGCAGAGTTCACAGTTCAGTTCGTGCCTCAAATCCAACTCAATTTTCCCAATGTTTTTAGAAGCATTGCGTAAGTTGTAATAAGTTGCTTAGAAATGTCATTACTTTGGTTTGAATAGTCTACTTAATACCATATTAACACTAACGCATTCTGTAACGTTTGTGCGTCTACCATGACAATAAAACATGTCTTCTGTCTGAATTAAAGACACGACCCCAGACTGTGTCATCTTCTTCACTTTGGTGGTTGTTTTTGGTTACTATAGAAACCAAACTTATACTAACATCAAATCTGCTGCCTGTGTCAAACCAGCATGAAATATGAAAAACATTTATCAAACCTTAAAGACTAGGAACAGTCAACTCTTAAAGCTACAGTGCTTACATGTTGTCATACAATTATATAACTTTGCAAAGTAAAACATGTTATATTTTTAATAATACAACTACTATATATTTTGTAAAATAAGTAGGCACGTCATGTGGGCTTCAACAAAGTGAAAAACTCCCACGTTCACGATTACGGTACCACATTCGTACCTCATTGATTGCCTGTTGACAATGCACGTCCTGTTGTGTTTCAAGCGCAATCATAGTCTTCTTTTAAAATACACATAATTAAATGATTATTCCAATTATTTGTAGTTTTCTTTTTTGATTGAACAGAGACAACAACTTTTCTGTCACCTTCAACATTATACGCCTTCGGGACGTTTGTTTGCCTATGTTTTTACATGCTCCTCGAATCTTAAACGTTGTTCTATGCTTGTTCTTCATGATGCTATTTGTAGTCCCACACAGCCTTTGGAAGAGCCACAGAATAGACAGAACTGACGCTGTGTATTGTCTTATCTTTGCAGTGCTCCTCGGGGTACTGGTGGCAGGAGCTCAGACAGAGATGAAGAGAGTGGTGGGGGACAATGCTACGCTGCCCTGTCACCATCAGTTCTGGGTGGGAGAGGACCCCACGCTGGACATCGAGTGGCTGCTGCTCAAGCCCAACAACAAGCACAGAGTGGTGAGTGGGCTCTTTGCTCCAATAACATTAGTTAAACAAATAGAATGATATGAACTTAAAAAGTGTGAGGCGCAATTGCTCATGAACATACCACTGTCACGGTGGCAAAATGAAAAGTACCCAAAACACAGAACTGCAACCAAACAGGGACTGAGACAAGAACCAAAACACACATGGAAATGACAATGACAGCACAGGGAGTGAAGGAACACACAAAGTTTAAATACATAACAAGACTAATAAGATATTGGTGACACACATGAGGGCAGGGCACAGGAAGTAAGACCAAGGAAGGCACAGAGGGAACAAGTTACAAAATAAAACGGTAAATGAACCTAAACTGTGACACAGGTGTGATCTTGTCAGAGCTGCGAGACGGGACACCATTGTAATACCAGGAGCCACTGTGGGACGGCTGAGGCTCTAAAGTGCTCAGCTATCATTGTGTGCTTAGACAAGACACTTTGTCCACATTTCCCTGAATGAGTTTGGTGTCAAAAAGAATGGTTGGTAGTGGTCAGAGGGCCCATCTGACCACTACCAACGATTCTGTGCGACAGCCCTGCATCCGTCAGTCTGCCCCAGGGAAGCTGTTGCTACAATAATAGATCACCACCTTTGTGTGTGCAGTGAATGGTATAACACCCCAAAAAACAGAAAAGCGTCTTTTAGACTCAGTGTATGTAAGATCACTATAGCAATACTTTTGACTCACTACTACTTTTACCTGTAAACAACAACATTGCCCGAGTTTAATCATTGGATTGAATTGACTTTCATTTAAACCTGAGATGTGTCATTGTTAGACTTCTGCAAACAAACTATTCTCTACATGATGATACTCTCCTTGCAGATCATTACGTACTTTGCGGGCCGCGTGTACGACCACAATGATGACAGCCGTGTGGCCTTTGCCGGGGAGTACATAAAGGGCGACGCCTCACTGCTCATCAGTGATCTGTCCCTCAGCGACTCTGGGGAATACAACTGCAAGGTCAAGACCGGAGCGCAGTACCACTGGAGCACCATCAGCCTCATAGTACTGGGTAAGTACTACTCCTGTACCTGAGTGGAGTTCACCAGCAACAGAAACCCTCCATGAAACCCAAAGGCAACTTTCCTTCCTTTTCCACTTACCCTGAAATAATTGTTGTCAGCCAGGACATTCATATCCATGTTGAGTGGACAGTTAGCGGGAACTTTGCTCATCCACAAAGAGTCATTTAGTCATTGTTAAAAATATAAAGAATTAACCTTTGTATACTGATATTTAAAACCTCAATATGCAATTGTAAAAAGTGCAATACATCTCCACAAACCTCATATTTACTTTTTTCTAGTGACATAATCTTTTGATCAATATAACAAGCTTTCATTTAAATTGCAGTAAAATGTTTAAGTACAGTATTATTACATGTACGGTAGAAAGGCAACATACATGATAGGTAGACGAATATAAACTCTTCTTCAAAAGCCAGATATAATTGTGTGCGATATAGGAAAGTTTCTCCCCTTCTTGATCAAATCCTTTCAAATGTACTGAAACTAATAATTCATGTGTAAGATGGTAACGAGAGGAATACAACTTGTTGACACATTCTCAAAACAGTTGCGACTTTTTCTTTGGTTACCCATGGGCTATTTCAAACACAATTGAGTCATTTGTCTTTATAAAACAAAGTTTATGCTGTAATTTCCCTATTATTTTATCTGGTAACTGTTTACTCATAGCAATTATTCGCAGCATCACATTTAATAGAGTTTTCTCAAGCAATATTTTTCTTGACAGATGGCGGCAAAAACACCATTTGTTACAGTTTGTCTCTATTAAATTTTAATTGTTTCATGTCTTTTCCCCACTACCACCGGGGCGGATATATCTGCTTCAAATCTTAACATTTTGGAGGCGAACATTAAACCCACCACTCCCGACTGGTTAGCTTCTCCGCTGGTGCATAGTGTAAAGCCGCGCAGTCCATCTATAATGCATGCAGCCTCCATAAGAAGTGCAAACACCTCTTTACAATCCACTACAGCAGGCGTAAACAAACCCGGCTGCTTTTTACTACACAGTTTTCATTATTTATGGTTTCCTCTTCCACTCTGCCGGAGAGGGCTTTAGCTTCCGCGGGCCGGCCGGACTCCTGGCCCCTCACAGCGGAGAACTTTTGCGGCCTGATCCGGGCTCATATATAATCGCTCAAAGCAGGCGTCCCGACAGGAGTAGGGGAGTGGGGGGGGGGGTTACAAGAGCGAGCTGGTCCGGTTTGAAGGCATAAAGATGTCAGGCAAAGCAAGTGGACATTTGGCTGGTCGTGCAAGTCCAACCCTAACCAATGTCAAACTAGAGAAAAAACAAGCCAAATTTGGTGGTGTTGGTGAACGGAGGTAGAACTTAAAACTTGTCCACGATGGACCATAAACATTTATTCTTTATTCTTTATGTTTCTATTTATTTTTCTTTCTATGTTGGTTGTTTGATGTCATTTTTTAAATAAATTATTAGGAAGTGTAAATATGTGCGTGTAAAGGCCTAAAAAAAATAATACCTGTGGTAAATTTGGCACCAAACTTATTTCATACAAAAGTGTAGTTTATTGACATAATTTGTCTTTGTATAAATAGAAAACATTATCTTTGGCATATTAGCCAAAGAGCCTTTGGCAGAGGCTTAAACTCCAAGCATGAGAAAACGAGTGATGGAACCAAAACATTTTTGACTATTTTAGTCTAGTATTTTAAATTATATTTCCTATCTATTCTTTTGTGGTTTGAAAGTTAGGTACCCTATAAACATTACATGTTTTAGACAGTAAAAAAAGTATAGTCTTTAGAAGTAGAAAATAGTAAAACTAAATTATCATCAACCAACCATGAGTACATTTAGAGACACCACCTTTGTTTAAAAAGCAAAAAACAGCTGTTCTGGGTGTCATAGTCAGGATTTGCGAGTTTGAAAACAGAAGTATGTCCACAGAAGGGGCAGAAATAAAAAAGCTCTAAAGGAGATTGTCCTGGCATGGATAATTTGATTCTATCAACGGTTTTCAAATTGTATTTTTGGCCTCTGTCACATCTTCCAATATTCTTTTCTGACAGAAAAGTGAACAAGAGAGGACCGCCCTCTCTCAGCCTCTAGTACTGGTGACCACGCTCCCATCTCTGTATAGATGACAAATGCCAGAAAAATTAACAATTATAAACCGCTTTGTGACTCTGGTCTGTGAAAGGTAATATATAAATAAACATTACTTACTTACTTAATCAGCTGTCAGCCCAAAGCGTCAAATAGTGACTCACATGGTTTGTGTGCAAAAGTCTGTTGTGGTCTCATTCCTCAGTTAACTTTTAGAATACTTTTTGTTTTGTTTTTACGTCGGTACACACAAAATGTGCTGTTATTAATGGAAAACTAAAGTCGGGTCGCCCAGCTTTAATGATACAGGAAATTGGGAGCAAAACGGGAGTACATTAGCAGTCCTCCGCACAAGTTACTGCTCTTGGATGTCAAACGTGCAGCGTACTAATCCCGCGCTCCCTGTGGACTGCAGATAACACTTGTAGAATAAAGGAGCGCACTATTTCCAGGAATTGACTGTTATGGCGCGCAGGTTGGGAAGGAGACGGGGCGGGTTATCGATTGGGGCCAGCGCAGTCTGCAGGTCTTTACATTAGAGCCGCTTCCTGTTTATGAGGCGCGATGGAGACGTTTAAATGAGAAGCACAAGAAGCAAAGGACTGACTGTAATTGCAAACTCTTGCCCCGTTTTCACATTTTTAGGGCGGTTTAGAGTTAAGTTTAAGATAACAATATTCAGTGTTCGTTCATTTCTGTTTGTTTGAATAGTCCAAAAGGGGTTACAAGTCTGCAAGTCCAAATTAGAGGTGCATTCAAAATTCGGCTTGTATTCGTACGCAAAAAGGTTCAGTCCAAAAAATATATAAAACATTTGAAGGCTGTGGCATGTGTAATGTCAAATCAGTGATGCAAGAAGGAAGTTTAGCTGCATGTCACACAAAAAGGCCAACAGGTAAAAGTATGACATGAAAATAATATTAGAAAATTCCCCATTCATACTTTGTGATTATGTGATTATGACTATGTCCGTCTGAAGAAGTGGATCTAAGGATGTCATAGAGGCCAAAAATATATTCATGTGAACAACACTGATAGAAACTGTTCTGAAAGCGAGGGACAGATGGATCTTTTTCCTTTTTTAAATATCACATTCATTTTTGTGGTTTGAAAGTTAGTACTGTAAGTTACCCCAGCTTTATGTCATGTTAAGTTGTTTCTTGTTTGAGAATAAATACATTTCAGTTCAGTTCAGCTCGGACAAATACCAAATTTGACAGAGCGAATTTACCGGGATTCGAATTTACCCAGAGTGCTATCCACTCAGCCACCGTACAATAAACCTTAATAAGTGCCTCATTGGGGGAAATTTCAATGTCATTGTTGCAGAAATTACAGCAGAATGAAAGGAGAAAATAAGAGCGACTCAGGATCTATTATTCAAGATAATAGATAATAAGGAAATAATAAAGTAATATAAACACTTAGATAATAAAGTAACACTTGGTTCAAGGATAAGTCCACAAGTATAGTTAATATTATACTTGTGGAATATACACTGTAGTAGTTAGCAGAATCATGAGGTATATATGATTATATTAAGCAGCAGGTAAAGTAACTAGTGTTTTATCAGAACAGGTGAATGGCACATGTGCAGACTCAGCAGTTCTCATTGTACAGTTTGATACTTGGAATACTTGATTGCTGCAGATAAAGGCGGTAAAGCATGTAAAACACACTCCTCACACCTCTCCATCTTTACTGAAAATCGCCAGCGCACCTCATAATCAGCCTCCCGCTCCATGTCAGAGCGGTGTGAAGGCGAAGCCCTCAAAGACCTCCAGACAGCTGACTGCACAGCCTTCGCCGCAGGCCAACTGGAGGAACAGGGGAACGGCAGCATGACAAAGGCAGATCTTCTATTCTGTCAGTCCAGGGAGTTCAAAAGGCCTGAGACGAGATGCGGACATGTGGGCGCGTGGGTAGAGGTCTCAGAGAGTGACAGGTCAGTGAGGAGACAAAGTATTGAAGGTTTAATATGAACAATGAGCAGAGATGACAGCTCTGCACTGTCAACATACTCCTGATCATATAAAGTACTGTACTTTACAAAAAACACAAATATGGAGTGCTTTGAATGACAATGTTGCGCCCAAACCAATCGTACGGTATGTGGGTAATTTATCTGAGTAACTTGTTTGCACCTGGTGACGGCACAGCATAAAAGGCATAACTTTGCCATAGAATTCACACTTTACTAATTGCAAATAATTACTTTTTTTTTGTATAGCCGTAAAACACAACAGTAGTTATCTCAGAGGAAGTTATCAATTCACCAATACAGATCAGAGAATGGAACTATTCACACCGCCAACGCTGGAACGCCGAAGCCTCGCGCACCAGACGCACATTCTCTAGTTTTCAGACGCAGGGGTGTTCAGACAAGAAGTCCCGGAAGGGCTTTGATGCTAACAGAGTTATGCTAGCGGCTTTTTGTGTAAAGTTCTTCTCCAAAAATGCAGCTCTGCAGCGTCTCCGTGTCGGAGACCTTCCAGAGACTTTCTATAACAGCAGTATGTGTTCACGGAGGTTCACAAGAGCACAGTCCCCCATTGTCAACCCTGGTTTTAGTCCTGGTGTAGCTCCTGTTTTGGCTGTTTACGAGTATGTTCAGTCTGTTCGCTCAGACCGCTAATGTCCCCGTGACCACTTTGCGGCTCTCTGATTGGTCGCTGCACGAACGTCCGAGGAAACGCTCAGCAAAATGTATCTCCTTCCTGCGTCGATTATCCGCTCCTGCACCTCTGCCACACCTTTGCCGCGCAGTCTGTGCGTCTCTACTGCGCAGTCCGTGCGTGCGTCCCGAGACACACATGCAGTTCGACGCTCGAACGCGCGTCACCATTGACTTTGCATTGAAAGCTGACGCAACGCATGATCCGGTCTGAACGCGGCTTAAGATATCGATACTGATATTATTCTATTATTATTATCTTTATTTATTAGACTCAAAGTCCATAAAATACAATCACAACAAACAAATAATTATTGAAGACTAGTTACACAGAGGATGTTTTTGTTTGCAGTGAAGCCGTCCAAGCCTCGCTGCTGGATGGAGGGGAAGCTGTTGGAAGGAGGAGACGTGAAGATGAGCTGTAAGTCCTCCGACGGCTCAGACCCCATCTACTACAAATGGGAGAGGGTCCTGGACAAGGGCAAGTACGTCGGCAAACTACCTCCTCTGGCTCTCGTAGGTAAGATCTCCTCCTCACATTTGCGGCTCTTCGATCGGAATGTGTGATTCAAAAACACATACAATGAAGAGATTTTATACTTCTTTATTATGCTAAAGTCACAGTTGTACTCATTATGCTAAAGATAGAGATTTTATACTTATTTCTTTTTGATGCTTGAGTTAGAGATATTTTTTGTTTTATTTAGTATGGAGTTATCGTTCATTTATCTTGTGCTGTGTGCCCCTCATTCCTACTGTTATGTAACTGGTGATGCAACACTGAAATTTCCCTACTGTGGGACGAATAAAGGATCTCTTAATCTTAATCAATGAATCTACAGGTGCCAGTATAGATAGTCAAGTCAAGAAAGACTGAGAAGGATTAGGAGTCAGATCCCTGCAATGATTTGTTCAGAAAAAAATAAAAATAAAAGTCAAATACTACAATCTTTTGTATTGATAAAAGTTTAGTATTCCCTTTAATGCCGTTTTTAGAATTGGTGCGGAATACGAAGGTTATAGGCTCTCATAAATAATAATGCAATTGAATTCATTTTCTGAATAAAACTTTTTTTTTGCGAATATCCCAAAAGAACGTTTGAAAGTGAGTTGATCCAACATCCACCTGAGACATAGACGCAATCCAATCTAATTTGAGTGAGGAGAAAATGCTTAAGTTTGAGAATTCTAAAAGAGGAGAGTAGATATACGGCCGCGCTGATCTAATGAGTCCTGCTGTAATGGCTTCATCGCCAGGCCGTGTTCGAGCCGCGGGGCCGGGCCTTGTCCCGATCGGGTGAAGAAAGCGGCGCTAGTTCAAGTACAGTAGGGAAAAGATGAATACTGCCACTTGTCATGTTCAGCTCTTTCGGGGCTTTTATAGCTTTTTGTGCTGACTCCGCCGTCTAGGTCCCACGCAAGAAAGTCCCCCGTCTGCTCTCATTCATCACCTGCTTTCTCCATCCGGCTTTAAATCCAACTCGGAAAATAAAAGTGCTTTCATGTACACTTATTGATATTAGAGACTTGACTTCTGATGATTGAAGTTGGTCGTTTGGAGTATGGGGGTACATAAGCCATTTTTAAAAATCCTTCCTTTTCCTTTAAAGAAGACGAATGCACTTCTATCCGCTGTAAAGTGTGAATGTCTGACAACCGAGGAGAAAACTCAATATTGATCTACGTAATGTAATATAATATAAATTTCCATATTCAGTACCGCCTACATTACTTGGCGTTTCAGATTCAGACATGAAAAGCTATGAACAAGTAAAAACAGTAAGTGTGTCATCTGTGGTCTGGAGGAGCAGTGGTGTCTTGGGTGTAAGAAAATATAAATGACTCCAAAACGTCGAACGTGTAAATGACAAGGGAAAACAGCTGTGAAAAGTTGATTCAGCCTGTTATGGCACTTTAAAAATGGACTTTATGTGGACAGGCCAGATCCTAGGCTTTAATAATAGATACACATACACTTTTAAATGCTACTTAAAGCTGGGGTACGCAACTTGTTCTGTTCAGTGCATCGAAAGAGCCCAGTGAACCACTATTATTAATGCTTTGGGCTGAAAGCTGGTTTTCTGAGTGAGGATGGTACTCTTATCTTTTCTTTTGTGATCTAAAGATGTGGAGCTACTTATAAGGATTTTATTAATGCTTTTTGTGGTTTAAAAAGTTAGGTATCCAAGCTTTAAATAAAATAGATAATTTAATAGAGTTGGATAAAGGTCTGGTATCTACATTACATAAATGAATTCTCAATATGCAATATGTTTTGGGTTTTTTTCCCATGTGACATCAGATTGTTGTGTATTTTTCTGTTCAGATTTGAAAAACCCGGAGATTGTGACTCTGAGGAACTTAACGAAGGAAAGTGCAGGCGTGTACAAGTGCACAGCCAGTAATGATGTGGGAGAGGAGAGCTGCACTGTGGAGGTCAAGATGCACTGTGAGTCACCTATGACCATTACAATGTAGACACACACGCACACACACACACACACACACACACACAGACACACACACACACACCTGAAAAACTTGTACCCTGCCATTATTGTGTTGTTCTCTTCCTACTTTACTGTATGCAACTGATATTCGAGTCTATTGTTTTTAGATAATCTTGAAAAAAAACTAATTCTGTAATATCAAAAGACACATAATACATTTTTTCCCTCATAAATACAGACAAGGAGGGTTTTTTCGCTCCATACATGCTAACATAAAGATTTTTTGGCACAAATCCTGACCCTAACTCTGTATTCCTTTTGGAAATTTCAGTCAATGTCAAATTATTCTGTGCCTTCAATTATATAATGCAATATTGGATTTCAATCTTAATCTTTTAACAAAGCGATCAGAATAAGGGTGTTATTATCATCATTATAACAAATACCACAAAAGTACTAGCTGTAGTAAAATACATTCATGCTTTAATTATGCAATTAGTGCATGCATTAAACACTTCAGATTTTAAAATATATACACATAATAAAGTCAGTGCAAAGCTAGTGGAGGGGATCAAGGTGACATGATTTTAATAGTCTATCTCCAGAGTGAGAAAGGTCAGCAGTAATGTAGACAGAAGCTTCAAAAAGCTTTTTTACATAGGAAATATATGTAAATGATTCCAATTAGCCCATCAAAGTCCACTCAGGGTACCTCAGATTGGAAAACCGTTTCAGAATGACCAAAGAGAAGATTTATGACTGTATTGAAAAAGGACATGGCATTTGAGTTGAGCAGCGGATGGGTTAAATGGCACTATTCAACCTAGACAAAAAAGATCCTTAAATCCATTAGTCTTCATTAGCCCGTGCCACCAATTAAATCTCATTCACAATGACATCCATAGTCAATTATTAGCGGTAATGTTTCAACAACCTGAGCGGCGGGAGTTGGCCGATAACACAGGATTTCTTGCCTGGCCTGCCAGACACTCCTCCTTTCTGTTCAAAAGAAGAACCGTCTGGACACCTCTTCCTAGCCTATCATTTCACGATTTTACCCACATCGGTCCAATCACGCACCGAGAGGCGGGACTTCCTTTCACCTTTGAGTTGCTAATAACTCCTCGTATCTTTAAGTTTTTGTTACAAAATCGACAGCAGTCGTTTACATTTGCACTAGCTGACATGCCGCCATCCCTTGTTTTGTGTTTACTGAAACGGCTTGGGTGCCGCTAGTTGCTGCGTCATATCCTGTGTGCATCTAATTGGTTGATGCAGTCTGTCAACCACGCCCACCGGGAATTCGCTGAGATCAAGCTCGTTCCCAGACTATATGTCTTTGAAAAAGCATATCGTTTGGCAGGCCAGGCAACAGGATTTCACCTGTGGACATTGGACATGTGATTGGATAAGGCCTGTGTTATTAACGGCATAGTGGACAGAGGAGCTAACAAGAGACACACAACTCAATCTGATGCTCGCTTTATCGAACACGACCCGATCAATCAGGGGCTTCCTACAGGCGCCGAATGACTCGCACAGCCAGGCCGTTCTGGAGGAGGAGAATGGAAATGTGTCTGTAGCTGTAGGTGGAGGTGAGATAAGGCTTGAATTAGAAGTTTTGCTGAATACAAGGTTATAAAGAACAAATGATAGGCTCTATTTGTGTCAATTTTGGTCATTTCATTTGGCATGCAGCTGTCCCATTGAAGTCATGCAGTTGTAAAGAATGTAATTGAAGGTGCACTTTATTTATGAAAAGTCAAAGAAGAGGCTTTTTCATAATATGGTCAGGTGCTGAGGGCATGTGGGCAGATCACGGGCAAAATGTGTTAATAAAGCTCAAATTACCACAGCACCAAAGATAACTTTCAAAGTTCAAAGAGCCAGAAACAAGGAGTACATTATCCCTCAAAGTAAAACCAACAGTTCATGATGTAAACAAACACGAAATACTTTCCTGTAATCTCCACATCCACCACCAAGGTCAATACTGGCTGAGATGCTGAGAGGTTTTTGCTTTAGCCATACTTAAATGTTCATGGATTGATGCACAGACTAAGACAGCTGATTTGTAAAGCTCCAGGTAACCAGTGGAATTTGATTTCTACAACTGAAAGGGCAAGAGGCAAATCAAGCCTCACAATAGTTATGGCATGACTGTATTCATCATAGGAAGTTGCTTTTTGTGAAACACATTGTGCTAATTGTTGATTGTAGACAACAACAGCAACATTTAAAAATCATGTTTCATCATTTTTTTCATAATTTGTCAACTCAACTTTATTCATTAAGGCCTCTAAAACAACCCAGTGGACCCAAGTGCTGTCATCATATACAACAAAACATAAAACTCATGAATTCAGATAAAATAACACATAGAAACAGTAAGTATTCTACCCTCAACTGAGTTAGAAGCAAAAGAAAACAAGTCTTGATAAGCCACTTAAAAACAGAACTATTCCACTGACACACAATCTGCCACAAAGCAACAGAAGCACCTGTGCAACGAATGAATGAACAAAATGAAAGAGAAAAATATCCAAGATGCTTATAAATGTCCCCATAATCGTGTGTGTTCTGTGCAGACGTCAGGGGAATGGGGGTGGTGGCCGGCGCGGTGGTGGGTGTGTCCTTTGGCGTCCTCCTCATCATCCTCATCATTTGGCTGGTGTTCCGCAAGAAGGAGATGAAGAAGTACGAGGAGGAGGAGACGCCCAATGAAATCAGGTACGCAGCACAGTCCACAAACTACAGACTACAAAGAAGACACTAACCCTGACACTAACCCTAACCCATGTTAATACTGCAGGGCTGCTTTAAGTCTTATAACAACACACCACAGTAAACATAATCATTTAACAGGCTAACAACAGATTTTCACAGCTCATAACTCTGATGACTCTGGAACGCCCTGACAAAGCCCACTGTTTGGTCGATATGCATTGGTTTCCGGGCGCAATATCATATTTTTAGTGTAGCAGTTGCCTCGGGTCTCCTTGTCCACTTCACATCTCGGCAAAGGTAACTATAATCTTCTGTGAATCAATATGGTCAAACCCTTGAGGGTGCTCTACCCCTCTCCTCAACTCATAAGTCTCATCAAGATACAACTTTTTGACGTTTCTTGTTTGACATTGGTTGAAACTCTTGTGCTCCTCACGGTCTATAGGAGGCAGAGGCAGAGCTCAGGACTCGTTCAAAGGCCTTCGTTCCTCACTGGCTCACAGCGGCAGTAGTTCAGCACACGATCTGACAGAGATTTCAGAAGTTGAAACAGCAGGGGTTATCTGTCAATCAAAAAGTTCTCAGACAAAGGAAATGAACACTGAAAAATTCAAAAGTGAGGGGGTATTGATGTGGAAGATCTTGATAACATTATACAGACAATAATGTTGCATGCCAACAATATTATGTACGTTATAATCTATGAACAAATATGAGCATTGTGAGCAAATCTCAATCCTCTAAAACAATCTCATAAAATAAATACCCAACTTTCAAACCACATACAAATTAACTATGTAAGAAAATGCATGAAACTAGTCTCTCGCTTCCAAAACAGTTTGGTTCTATCACAAGCTTTCTCATTAATATATTCATTCATCTTTAGATCAGATTTTTCAGACAATAAAGTGAAAGGGAGATGGCCCTCACTCGGCCAATCAGCTCTCAGCCCAGAGTTCCAAATAGTGACTTCCAGAGATCTTTCTATGCAAACAAGTAGGGCTGCAACTAACAATTATTTTAATAATTGATTAATCTGTTGATTATTTCTTTGATTAATCGGATAAAAAAAACATTTTTAATTTCCATCATTCATTTTTTAAGTAAAGTGCACGCACGTTTATCCCGCATGGGAGACGGGTCGCATGCAACGAAAGCACAAGATGAACATACTCGCTCCACACTTGTGCGGCAACCAATCAGAGAGCACATTGAGGACGCGGCGCTTGTGAACATATATTTTCACACTGAGTTGACATTCTACTGTGACTGTAAATGCGGATGTACCAGCGTTAGCATCAAAGCCCGCGCACCAATTCCGTCCTGCGGTTTTCCCCAACGCAGGAAGGTACAGCAGCAGTTCAGCTGACTAAACTCATGCAGCTGATATTTAGAGTCCTACATCTACGCACTTTTAATAATCAATTTTTATCGATTCTTTGTTGCAGCACTACAAACAAGTATGCAAACAATAACATGTTTTATAATAGGATTAAGATACTAAGAGTGTATGTTGTGGTCTGTTTTGTTCACAACTTTTTTACTTTTACAGGTAAACAAAAATTAGGTACCCAAGCTTTAACCCTAACCCCAAGAATTCACAACATAAATCAACTGTTTATATTTTAGTCAGAGGAAACAAACAAAAAGAGGTCATGAACAGTGATGGTCAAATTATCGCTTGATTGCGGGATAATAAAGATTGTTCAAACATTCAACAACTGCTCTAAAACCATTATTGAGGATAATTGAGGAGGGGAAGTGTTTTTATGTGAAAAAAGGCCTTTACTGTCCTTCATAGTGGTCTCTAGGACGCTACAGGAACAATTGTTTCTCATGATGTCCACTCTCACTGCCACTGGGAGACTACAAATACGGAAAAACATAAACATAAATATATTGTTTTATCACATATAAAGTTGCTTAATGCCCCTTTATGGTTAAACAGTCTTCAAAGTTGATGTTCCTTATACATTGTGTGTGTTGCAGGGAGGACGCGGAGGCTCCCAAGGCCAAACTGGTGAAACCCAACTCCCTGTCATCGTCGCGATCAGGCAGCTCTCGCTCGGGCACCTCCTCCACCCAGTCCATGGTCCACAACATGCCCCCGCGCCCACAGCGAGCCTGTGTCCCAGCTGTGGCCGCCCTCAAAGAGAACTGCCACCATGCACCAGGCTACTCCCAGTCTCCCCCTAGCTACTCTCAGAGTCTCCCCAAGACCCCCGAGCCCCGAGCCACGCCCGCATCCTCATCCACCACCACCACCACCTCCTCCAAGCCCAGCCCACCGCCCAAACTCAGCCCTGCCAACTTGTCCCGCATGGGGGCCACTCCGGTCATGATCCCGGCCCAGAGCAAGGCCTTCCAGACTGTGTAGACCGCCATACAGACTGTGGAACCCTCTGTGCTTAAGTCTCAGGATATGGCAACCAGCTCTATTCATTACAAACTTTGGGACAATCTTCTTCCCACTATTAATCTTGCATTATATTTTTACCCCGAACAAATTGTCAGGATGGCCGATGGAAGTATGTAATACTATGAAAGAAGATGTACTGCAGCAAATTGACTTCGGAGATGTGCAAAACTCCCATTGCAGCTTCAAAGTAATTTCAAATGAAACCCCAATGACATTGCATTGGGCTGAGAGGCATTGATTGTACAAACTGCATTATTATACACTTTATTGAGTTCTAAAGTATCAGCTGTCTTCACATTTCATGTTTCCACATGTACAGTTTGCCAAAGTCATTATAATCATAATATAACCACTGGACACTCAGTTTTAGGTTTCCGTTTTGTGGTATTTGTCAGCAAGGCAAAGCTGATTAAGTTGTTTTGGAAGTATGAAAGAAACCAAGTCATGGACCAACATCACTATGTGCTGTATTTACTGCTTTCCAATTGCATTATGGGTGTAAATGGAGGTTGTAGAATAGAACAAGGTGATTTTTTAAAGAACAGAACAAGCACCAAAAGTTGACTAGTGATAAAAAAATGTAATTTACACCGTGCTGTTAGAAAAGTATGAATGCATTGACGGCAGATGGTTGTCATGCACACACTGTTGGTGCACATAATTAGGCATGAATACGTTTTTGTAAGTGATACTGTATGAGTTCACATAAAGGAAAACCTCATGAATTGAATTGCTTTTGTTTATATTTTACAGTTACAAACTAGCATCTATACATAGATCCAGGCCATGACTTAGCTTCTCTTTGTGTTGCATTGTATAGTTTTGCATTATGGATCTCACCAGATCCTGGGTATTTGAGGATTGTTGGACTCTTAACAAAGTCTGCTATAGAAAGTGCCACTTTGTGAAGGTGTATACTTCACAGTCCCGTCATTAGAGAACAGACTGCATGAATGTGAAGAGAAATATATACATAAAACGTTGACCATGATTTTATTTTGCAGATTATCACGACAATATACGTTGACGTATATTGTCACCCTCTTGGCATCTCACAGCTACATGTGTACTACAAATGGTTATAACTGCAGCCAATCAGAAAGCTTCTAATATTCTCAAAGTGATCATTTAGTCTGTTGAAGGAAGTTATTACAACGTGTTGATTATCAGAAAATGTCATTCAACTACTGCATATCACGCTCCACACAAGCCACGACAACCAGATAAATGTATACGGCGTATCGACTTCCCCATCACGTGTAAGCACATCTGGTTTTATGTGGCGGATGTTCAATTATAGCAGATAATAACTGTTAGACTTGGATTTGAACATAGTCAATGCAAACAAAACACCGGTAAAATGATTTGCCAATTATTGAGGACTGCAGAAAAACTGGTAGTAGGTTAAAGGAGCTATACCCGTTTCAGTAAAGTTTGAATGTTTAGCACCGCCCCCAACTCGCTCACAGGCTTCTCATTTCCCCTACGCTCTCATAACACGGAGCCATCTAGTTTTATTTGCGATCTGATACGTATGCTAACATTAGCATGAGTGCAGCTTCTTGTAAGCTGTACAACAATCACTGATGAAATGGTACAAAAGCAACGCACTGCTAACAAAATATATAACTGCTATGTTCACCCGGGCTTGATTTCTTCTTTGATCATCTTTTTGGCTTTAGTTCTCTCTTCTCTTCCTCACTGTTGTGTCGTTTGGGCTGTTTTGCTGAGTCTGCAGTTACAGCCAGAAGAGTTATAGCCAATTCTGCTAACATGCTACTGTGTTTAGCAGCGCTGTAGAGGCTAGAGGACGCAGCCTCGTTTTGTGATTGGAGGAGAGCGAGTGTCACGCCAAGTCTCTACTCAGCACTTTTTACGGCCTGAATTCATACACAAGCTGAATCAATGAGCTCAAGTTTTCAATTAAATTACGGATAATAATACAACTTGTATGTAGTAATAAGCATTTTTATGAACTCATTAGAAAAAAAAATTGGGTATAGCTTCTTTAAGGCATTGTTTGTAGCTTCTTGGCACCTCGATCACAAATATTTCTGTTTCTTTTTTAGCACAGTCTCCTCTGTTCATGTTAACGTGTTCTCTGACGTGACAACTGCAGATTCTTTCATTGTATGATCAAAGTTCTGAAACACGGCCGGACATTGGGCTTTTGCTGTGAGGCTTACAACAGCTTAAAAACTGTATAGGGTGCCTTTGCCCACATCACCGGTCACATATGAACAATAGTGTATTTATGTTCTCTTTAGGAACATGACACTAATCAGACTTAATGGAAATTCACGGGCCGGGCGCCATTTATAACCGACCTGACACATACTGTACCAGCCATACGGACGCACAAAAAACACGGACAGACCCTCCTCCGCCATAGGTTCTTCAATCACATTCCGCTGCGCTTCCAAACGTAATCTTCGTCTTATCCCTCTTCCCTCTCTCAACTCACCTCGCCGGGGTCCCAGGGCACTTGGATCTGGCGAGTTGTATTGTTCTGCCCGAGGGAGGGGGGTGGATGGTGCGCTGGTGGTAGGGGGGCAGTGGTGTCAGCGACCTTCACCCAAGGACGGGCTTTTTCATTGTCCTGGTTACTTTCATGTAACTGTGGCTCTCTGCTGGCCGAGGATACAGACGTGAGGAGCGCGTTAGACGTTAGGAGAAGGAAAAGTGGATTTGAGAATGAGGTTGACTCTGCTGTTGAGGAAGACAATTAAGCCACGATATGAAAAACATGATTGACTGACAAATATTAAAGTGTGTTTGACAGGGTTCATAATCATTTCAGGTTTTGCCACAAAATGTACAAATAATACTTACATGTTGTGGTTAAATGTAATTTATTTTCGGAATTTATGACTACAGGTTGTTCTGAACATAAACAGATACCTTGTTGAGAGAGCTAGTGTTTGAAACTTCAGATTTGTTTTTATTTTTGGGAAATTGTTAAGCTTGAGGTAAGGTATACTTGGGGAAATGCCTCTGGGAAACTTGTAGGAAGCAGTCAGTGGGTCGCTACAGTTTTGGATGGTAGTGGAAACCGGATCATCCAGAGGAAACCCGCCCAGACACATAAAAAGCAACAAACTTCTTGCTGCGAGGCCGAAGCACTAACCACTCAGCCACCGTATCCATAATTGTGCAGCTATTGTAAATGTATTTAGTTTTTTATAGTCAGTTCAATGTACTCTTTTTTTTAAACATATTTTTCAACTTTTCTTCACAAACCTTTTCCGGAGTGGTCTAAATGACAAAACAAAAGAACATTAATAATCACCCATATATCGTTTTTGTGTGACCAAAACTTCTAATCTACACACAAATGTAAAATTACTCACAATCACAGGTAAGAAAATACAAACAATAAAGCAGTGGTGGAGGTCAGATGAGCCAGGGGGAAGCAATATTCTCCTAATGGTTGTAGGAGAATATAAATGACTTAAACTTCCTCAACTTATGTACATTACAACGGGAAACGCAGCTAAACGTGACCGAAAAGCTGTGCAAGGTCCATTTACCTTTTATACCTGCCTTTTATTTTATTTTTTTGCCATACGCAACAAGGCAACAACAACTCGCACTCACTCACTCTTAACATATTCCACTTTACATACTCATTTGGTTGAGGGCAGTGCAATCAATATGGAGGAGCGCGGACGGGGCCCCAGCCTATAAAAGCAGCCTGGAGCGGTTCCATATAGGCAGTAAATTGATACAGCAATGGCACGGCCTGAATAAACATAAGTAAACATGGGCAGGTCGTCGGCAGACAAGGTGCCCTTATCCTCAAACAACCCGTAACCGCGAGTCTAATTTAAGTAACTTTTAAGTGGGATAAGATTGGTGAACTCGCCGCTGGAGAAGGTCGAGTCATTTTAGCGGCGCAGCAAGGAACGTTTTGGGGTTAGTGCGGGAAGATTGCTCTCCAAAAGTGGCATTTTTGGGGGGGGGAGATGTATATTAAAGCACATCCTCGAAAGTGGTGCTTAATTCAACCTATAAATGGCCTAGAGTTGCCTTGAATATACAGTATATAGAGAATATTTAGTTGGAGATTACAAGTGGACTTTTAAAGCAGGTTTGTAAGATGTAATTATAGGTCAGATATGCATTATTTCTGTTGACAATCTTTGCTCTGGCATTGCATGGTTTAGAACTTGATATAATATCTGTGTGTGGATAAAATGCATACCTTTCACAGTTATAAACTTTGCACTCGGAAGCAATTTGACGGCAGAAATGTGAGTGAGTTTAGAAATGATGGTTAAATGGTCAGCAGCATGTATACAGCACTTTTCTATCTTTTTAAGGCAATCAAAGCGCTTCACATAAAGGAACCAATCACCCTTGCATACACATGTTCATACACCAGTATACGCACGCACTGGGGGTTAAGAGTGTCTTGCCCAAGGACACACGGCAGCGATCACCAATGGGAGCTGGTTTCACACTTGCCAACCTGTGTGTCAGTCGATCTGATCGCTCTACCAATTAAAACCGCCAACCTGCAGCTCAGAGGACAAACGCTCTACCCTCAGAGCTGCAGAAGGGAGACCACCTCCAGAGTGTTGGTAGTGCAGAAACACGCACATATAAAGTGTATGTGTTTTTGAGGAGGAAAACATTTGTCAACATTTGAAATACTTGGCCTTGAGAAGCCAGTCATGTGTTCTTGAAGCCAGTCTTAAAGTCACACTTTTTAACAAGAATTGCCCGCCCCACGTCTTTTCAAAGCCCTGCATGGAGAAAAAACTCAATATCAAACTAAACTTTTTCTTCATGCATGGCTTTTCTTGCACACCTCCAGCTGTTGTGCCCCTTGCCACACATCTGGCTTCTTCTAAAGCTCCCGGGTTTCCAAATTGGATAGGCCAAAACTGATTAGATGCATTACACCCGTTTCTTGACAGAATATCCCCGTTATCGCGACGCAGAGAAGTTGTTCAAAATTAGGTTTTCGCCGCAGATTCTTTCCGGCTTACACGGCTGTACGGAATACTACTGACTTATCGCTTGCGTCGCGGGCCATTAGCCTTCCTAGCCTGATAAAGCAGCCAATTTGTGTGGCGGATGTCCCTGCACAAGTTTTCAGAGTGTGGAGAGGAGACAAATAGGACAACAGCACCCACGGGAGACCGCCTGATTACCAAAAACAACCTCCATATTCCATATAATGCTCCAAAAATTCATCCGACCAAAGCCAGGTGGATGATGGAAGGTCTATTCAGGTGCTTGATGAGCTAAAACATACTTGGTGATTGATTTTGCTGTCTGACTAAGCCAAACGTGTGCCTATAAGTTCTTTATCGCCGTATCTATCTTATCTGACAAATGCGTGGGAATTGGCTGCAGTTATGACAACACTTAAATGGTATGAGCTGAAGCAGTGGTTCTCAAAGTTTTTGTGCCACGAATGACCAAAGATACAAGTTGGTGTCTTTTCGTACGATCATGTGTAAACTGGGATTTCCAGGTGTTTTAGGATAAAAAATGATGACCGTTTTCATAGTGATTATGAACAATTCAAAACTAAATGTATTTTTTCAATGGGAGAAAGGTCCTCAATAAAGCTGCACAAAGTAGGAAGCTGGAATCCATTAAAAGAGCTCAGGAAGGATCACATTCTCCATAGAAATACATTGGTTAAAAGGTTAATAAAGGAACCCTAAAAGCCTGTACAAATGCTTACTTCTATAAAATAGTCACAACATTATTTTAAATGGGCTGTTTTGTATAAGTTTAAAACCACGCTGATCAGAAGAAAACAATGAAATATCAAAATTTGGTCTTTAATATGCACCAGAACAGAACCAAAAAGGCAGGTCCAGTAAAATGATGTAGTATTTAAGTATATTGTACTGGGGATCATAGAAAAAGTGGTGTCTAGGAAACAGATACCAACAATCAGGAACGCTAGCAAAGCATTTACCCAAAACTGTAGAGGGCACTGCTTACCACAGTTTGAGAAACACTGCTTTTAAGCATTGTTTTCATATTGTGTATTCATTCCAACAGAAATAAACTCAAAATGACAAAGAATGGTGGTTATATGCATGTTACAGATACTAAACTAAAGGAAGAGACTTTCCTTTATGGAAGCGTATACTATATAGAGGTAAATATTTCTTTTTCAAAGCTTATACACTATAGAAATACTACTCTTATAGATAAAATGTAATGGTCATATAGGTCACTGTGTAAATTCATAAATATCTATTTTTGCTTTGTTTCCTGTGTGCGTTGCACAGTACGACGTGCTGTGAACTGGTGTACATACAGACTGTGGCGGAGGCAGCAGCACAGTGCCAAAGGGACTGACTTGTGTCTCACGTCTTCAATAAGTCTCTACCAAAAAGCCCATGTACAAAGTCCTCTGCTCGCAACAGATGTACAGATGTACAGTACTGTTTCCTCTTTTGTTTTATAAATAAAACTTTTAACTGGGATGCACAGAGACCTCCTGTTTTTATTCATCGGGGGCTTTTAAAGGGGCCAAACAAACTCATGGGTTACCAAACTTGCACCACAAAACACAGCGCAATGTAATCAAATACATACGTAACTAGTTCCTCACTCTTGAGACCAAACGGTACAGTCAGTCACTATGTATTTTTGGCTTCAGTCACATCTTCAGATCAGCTTTTACAGGCATAAGAGTTAAAATTAGAAAATTGCCCTCTCTCACCGCTCATAGAGTCAAAAAGAGGCTCACAGGTAAGTAAAAAATACATCTTGCTATGGAAAAAAAAAAGTACTTTGTTTTCTATATATAGGATGTTGTACAACTGTTGGGTAACTTACTCTATACTGACTGAGAATGTCGAAATGTATTTCAACCTGTCCATTTAGTCCCCCTCATATCATCATCACCATTTACGAACCATGTTTAATCTGTGTGAAGATATGTGAAAAATGTGCAAAAAGTGAAAGTTTTAAAATAAATAATTCAATCAATAAATCCTTGTATCGAATCTTATCTAGGAAATAGTAAAAAGCAATATCAATCTCAAACAAAGAAGAACACTTTTGAAATTATAATGAAAAATGGTAGAGATGTAATCATATTTAAGAAAATACATTAAACTGAGTTAACTGTATTATGATAAGATAAATCAGTTCAGATGTGGCAAATTTTCTAATAAAAGCTTTGTCTTCACACAATTTGTTCTGTGGTCTTTCTGCTGCCCTCACCTGCCGTTTGTCGCTATCGAGTATCCAACGTCGCCATCTTGTGGGCCAGTATGGCAATTACACTAATCAGTAGTGCATGTAATAATGTATAAAAGAACATGAATAACTGAATAAATATATACAAAACGTCATAGATAATATTTTTAAACTCATCTAAGTCAAGGGTACATTCACATTCAATTCAGGGTACATTCAAACAAAGACGTAGTCAAAATGAAATGGCATTCATAAAGGTTTTATTCCAATTTATGATGTCTCCAAAACTTAGTCACGCAAATTCACAAAAGAAAATTCCTGATAATATGTGTAAAAATAGTTGCAGTGTCAGTGTCTACATTTCTCCCACATGTCAAAGTTGTCTTTACAATGATTCATACAAGGCAAGCAACGATCGTGTCATATGGGAGAAAGCTGTGAAAAGGCTGCTGAGCGTCACTTTCCCTACATTCATGTTTCATTAGGTAGTTTATATATAGAGAAAAACATGTGAAAATCAAGAAAAGTGTTCTTATCTTAATGTTCTAGCATTACGTTATCTTATATGTCATGGTGGAATGTCAAAGTGGGTTATGTGCGATATGGCCAGCCCTTGCTAATGTAACATCACTTGTTAACCGTTTGTCCACCGACATTAGGTGATGGGGAGCTGTGTGCAGAAGTGCTGATGAGAAGTGAAAGTGCTCATAAAAGGTTAATCATACTCAAAAGGTCAGTGTGCTCGTCCTGCATTTAGATTCCAGTCACTGTTTTGACATTTGCAACTAGACCCCACTGTGGGGCCTGTCCCAAAGTTCCATTTTCCAGCTTTTGGATAGACATGGCATTTGGAGCTGTGATAGGCGATTATGTCGCGTCATGGAATAAACAATTTGAGCTATAAATGACAATTTCCAACATTACTGAATTACAACGTATGGTATTGAGATGTAAAAAGCCACATCAACCACATGTTCTACACCAAAATGTGAGTCTAAAATGTTCAATCATATTCCTGTCCATCCCCACATAATGATATTGTGTCCTGAATAATCACCATTATCGAAAAGCATATATTTTTGACATCCCTATCCAGTATATATTCAAATTCTACTCGTGACGTGGGGGTAGGAGGTGGGGGTAGGACTACTGGGGGTAGGAGGTGCACTAACGGCTGTTTGAGCTGTGATTTTATCGACGATTTTTACACATTTAATTCACGAACTGCAAAAGAAGGCCAGCGTTTTATTATGTTAATAGATTTATATGCGAAGGTTTATGGAGGGCAAGTGAAGGTAACGCATGTACTCTTTCCTATAACAAGTCCAGGTTGGAAAAGGTATCGTTTTATTGGCCATATTAAAAAGGTCAATAGTGAACCATGTAGCCTGGAGTAAAAGGATTCATAACAGGCAGATTTTGAGGAAGTGGTGGACAAGTCTAGTGTCTTTACATACACCAATTCAATTATTTAATTCTATGTACACAATTAGTCAGGTCTGAGTTTGATAGAGATGTAATAGTCCTGGTCCCTTTCAGATCAGTGAGGATAAAACAGCTGTGTTTTACCGTAACAGCTAACAGCTGTTGGTATTAGCGCAAGAAGATTCTTGGGTTGTTTCCCAAGAAACAACCCAAGAAAGATTAGGTAATCTCCAGGTGCTCCAGTTCCACTACGTAAAAAAGAGTTTGTGTTTCTGTATTTGTCTTTTTGGACAAATTATGCTTAAGCGTAAATTCAGACTGGGAAGACCTCTGCAGCAGCTCTCACCCCATCCAAGGCCAGCCTCTCGAGCCTCTTGACACCCACCAGCTCCCCAGCACCTCTTTGAGCTCCTGCCCTGACTCCTGCCCCGGCTCCTGCCCCGGCTCCTGCCCCGACTCCTGCCCCGACTCCTGACCCGACTCCTGACCCGACTCCTGCCCCGACTCCTGCCCCGACTCCTGCCCCGACTCCTGCCCCGACTCCTGCCCCGACTCCTGCCCCGACTCCTGCCCCGACTCCTGCCCCGACTCCCGACTCCTGCCCCGACTCCTGCCCCGACTCCTGCCCCGACTCCTGCCCCGACTCCTGCCCTGACTCCTGCCCTGACTCCTGCCCCGACTCCTGCCCTGACTCCTGCCCCGACTCCTGCCCTGACTCCTGCCCTGGCTCCTGCCCTGGCTCCTGCCCTGACTCCTGCCCTGACTCCTGCCCTGACTCCTCCTGCCCCCTGCCCCGACTCCTGCCCCGGCTCCTGCCCCGGCTCCTGCCCCGGCTCCTGCCCCGGCTCCTGCCCCGGCTCCTGCCCCGGCTCCTGCCCCGGCTCCTGCCCCGACTCCTGCCCTGACTCCTGCCCTGGCTTCTGCTCCACCTACGCCCCATTCACACCATGCTCTTGCCACCAGCAGTGCTTCACCCCGGGCCGGGCTTCCACGCGCCAAACAAATACATCTTTCTAAATACATTGACGCTTCGGTCTTGGTCTCTCCAGATTGAAATGCAGAAATGAACCCCTGGTTTGGTCAGGACCAGAGCTTTACCTTTGGTGCTTCTTAATGTGAACCATGAGTGCCTCTCAGCCACAGTTCAATATTTGTAAAAAGTGTACAGTCTACTGGTCGATAATGCATCATCATCAAAGTGAAGCCCAACTAGGAGCCGCATTAAGTGCCTGCTTATTTTGTATATGTACTGAAATACAATCGTGCAGAATAAACAAACTGAGAATGTATTCTACTAATAGAACTAATACCATAAAAAAGATCTCCATTACATTTACATGAAGCGATTTTCAAACGGTCTAAACAATACAGTATGTGATGTTGACAATTGCTCACATTCTATGTTGCTGCCTTTTTCTGCTTCTCAATGCCGGAATAATAAGAATAATAGAGGGTACTAAAAGTACAGAACAGGCTAAAGTCATAGCGTCAGCGTTCCATGTCCCTGCATGCCTCCAGTCCTGATTCAGACTCCTTTTTTCAGAAAAGCACAATTTAGTCCCAGGTGGCAGTTCAAGGATTCATCCCCATAAACTGTGCGTGTGCGTGTGTGTGCGTGCGTGCGTGTGCGTGTGTGTATCTCATAGAGTAAGTGAGTGCTTACTTGGACCAAACCAGGACAAGGTCAGTGTTGTTGGTTTATAGTTATCAACAAATAAGAATATTCACTTTGATTTGAAATTGAACATTTAAGTATAAAGCATGATAAATGGACTAAGAAATTATAAGAATGTGTGAGACTCCCATGTAAGGACAGGAGAGGGAAATTACTATTTGCTACATTTGTATTATTGAAAGCCCTTCTGTGCAAAAAGGCGGAAAACAGCACTATTCTTGACATTATATTCAAAGGATCTGTCGTTAAGTAATACTTGTAAAACGGGAGCATTTGGACAGTGATTGTGATGGGACTTCATGAATGCATCTGGCTTGTTTGGCACAAGCTTGATTCGTGTTTAGCGTGTGCACACTTATGGGTCTGTGAGGCTCTCAGTCACAGACGTACAAAGGTTTGTTGTGTACATTTGAATAAGGTTTCCATTTCTTTCAGTCTATTTACAAATCTACTGCAGACTTCCTTGAGAAATGGAAATTTCCATAATGTATCTTTGTAAACATCATGGCTGTCTAGAGTTCTAATAACAAAATAACAAAACAAAAATACTCACAAAACATCCTTTAAACAATTAAAATAATCAGAACTGGACATGACAATCTGGTTAAGACTAGGTTTCCACGACAGTCAACAAGACTGCAGCAGTGAAAGTGCCACATGCAATCACTCAGGGCCATTTGCATTGGTTCGTTATCAGAGCAGCAGAGCGCTGTGCTCCAGTTGAGGTCTTAATGATTTATGACCATAGACGCTGTGTTTAGGTCTGCTGTTGTGCACCTCTCAATATTCTGTTCCTAAATTAGGAGTAAGTGATGTACATCCCTACTGGGGGTGCATTTGAAATACTACATAGGTTTTTGCTCGAGTGTAATAGGTCTTATGATGAATTTCTACTCACAGCAAGTTGTATAGCTCCATTCACAAATGTTGAAAGTGGTTGTTTTTACATTCTTTTACCACATCATAAAACAGTCATAGGGAAGCTGATATTTTATTTTGATTAGGAGTCAACAGTTAAAAATGTGGGTTTTAAAATTAATAAAAAAAGTCTAAAGTTCATAATAATGTTTGTCCTCAGGTTCACTTGGCAGCGGAGGTGAGGAGTTGAAAAATGAAAAGAGTAAAATGATGTCAGCAAAATCTAGACAATGCAGTTTCTTCACGAGAACAATACTTGAGTTCTACCTCCCTTTGCTTAGTAGCCTTTTTTGTGGGTATACATACAGTACCTGGTCCACCAAGTTATGACCACTTGCTTTTTTATGGAATGGAGTACATCGATGAGGTGAGAGATTGGTAAAAACACTCTTCAGAACATTTATTAAGATGATCACTTGCAATCTGTACATTCCTGGCTAATTCCATGAGTGCAGAGACTTACTTTTTGTATACAAGATATCAAATTAACTCAAGATGGAGCCATAATTCACAAAATAGTGATGATGTGGCACTCCTTGCTGCTGCATTGCACCACTCCTTCATACTTCTCCGGTCCGCGCTGTCACCGGGCCGTGATCGGTGGGCTACGGTCAACATACTTAGCTCATTTGCATTTGAGATGTGAGCGTGCACTTCTCTCTCTCACCGGGTAAAGGAGCAGTTTGGAAGGTGGCGGGGGAGGAGGACGACAGCCAGTGACTAATGTGATGCGGGAGAGAGCCTGGTCCCGTGACGCCGTGAACGCACCGTACCTGCAGCTTTCGTTGTGCAGGTGTGCTCAAGAAATGGGTCAGTGACGGAGGAAAGAGAGGAAGAGGAGGAGGAAGAGGAGGAGGGGTCAGGAGCAAAGCGGAGTGGAAGAACTCACAAAGGCAAATGACTCTGGAAAGATGCAGGGACGATAAGCAGCTCCGGACTTGGTGTTAATTGCTGTTGTTTTGCAGCACTGTGGGAGTGACTTTGTGGTGCGGATGGGCCGTCATGGTGGTCCAGGGCCAGGGATGTCACCTGCGGGTGTCTTCTCTCCGCAAGAGGCTGCCCTTCCACCGGGTCAAGTGAGTGCCAGCTCCGTTACTCTGTCAACACTGCTTAACTGGGGGTAACAAGCTCCGGCTTCTGTTAATGCAGGTCTGCTTAGAGGGGGTTTTGTCCAGGTGAAATTTGGGCCACTTAAAGCTGGGGTGTCTTATTTTCAAACCATCAATAATGCTACTTTTATATGTAAGAAAAATAAATCAAAATAAAATCAATCCATCTAACTTGTTCTTGGGTCTAAAAAGGTTGTTACCATCCCTACTTTCCACATGCCTGTATGGCTTGGCCTCTGTCACATGTTTATCGTCTTTTTCAGAAAGGAAAAGTCAAACAGTGATTCCCATGGCTCGTTCTTACAGGACAAAAGATTGAAAAACGTTTCTCGGGAAAACTGAATGTTGTGGTCTGATTTGTTCAAAACATGTTATTACATATTTGTTGGGACAAACATGTTTCTTTTACAAGTTTGGTAGCCCAGCGAAGACCAAATAATGTTGTGCCTCACAGCAATGGTGTAGGTTTGGTTCCAATCTTGGTGGGGACATTCACTACGACCCGAGTCTACACCCATTGACACGGGGTCCAGAGTTTCTCCCCCAGAATTTGTTGTGTAATCACACACTATATTTGCAATAGTGTGTTGCCTTCTATACTAAACTCAGCTGTAGACTGAATGAGAAGCAGTTAAGGATTTGTTCTAATAGTCAGAGGAGAAAATATTGAATTAGAATCTACAGTGAGTAGCTCACTACATTGTTTGACATATACGATCAATCTCTAAAAACAATTCATAGTCCCATGCATACCTACAAAATTCCAACCTCACCTGATGCACTGAAGGGCCTGTTGCTTCTACCTCAACATTCCCTATCATCATCACAATTCATAATTTGCTATTACTTGTGCTTTCTCTTACTTACTTTCCAACTGTTAAAAAAGCTCTTGATATCTTTTATCTTTTTTTGTGGAGGTGGCATTTTTTCTAAATTATATAAGAAGGTATAGACAATCAAAAACAGACATTCATATACATGAACTGCAGAATCATTTATATAACTTGGCCAATGTCAAAAGTTACATAGTATTTCTCAATACAATGAGTTAACAAGAGTTTGGCAATAAGTAACAGTGTGGATTTTTCTATATTTTCTTTTTTTTATTCCACTCTCAACCCAAAAAGGCAAGTAATGACTCACAGGGCTCTCAAGTATGCAAAGTAAAAACTTAAATGACCTGTTGTGGTGTGTTTTGCGCACAACCAGCATGCATCGTTAACGCAATGGAAAATTTAGGTACCCGAGCTTTAATTTCGGGAGCGCTGGTTGCGCTTTGGGAAGAGTCAGGGGAGAGACATGTCAGAGACACAGGGGAGAAACGGGGGAGATACAAGGGAGACCCGCACTTGCAACATGGTTCTGTCTGCATATGATCCGAGCTCGGTACCATGTTAGAGCTGTGCTTTCACTGAGCGCCGCGGCTGTCATTACAAAGCGGCAGCAGCTGCACCAGGACGTGCACATTCGAGTGCATCTCTTGAATGTGCTTAGAGCAAATAACAGCAAGTGCCCGCTGTCACACATTTCACAGAAATTACATTATCAGCAGATAAAGGTTGTAAATCGTGGATCCGTGGAATATTTTCATCCCTAGTTTATCCTGATTCCCACAACACACCCACTTATACATTTTGGATAGTAAGAGCACAATAAGTATTTTTTCAGCCTTTCAACCAACCTGTTTCTTTATTGGAGCCAGTTCTGTTCTGTCTCTGTGCCGTGTGAGCTCCTCGGAACATTAAACAGTGCGCTGACAGATTAGAAATAACGTAAGTACTTTGAATGGTAATAGATCTACAGTACTTTCCTATGATTACTCACGTGCTACAACGCTCAGGGAACGAAAAAAAACACTTGCTTCACGCTGGCTAACTTGTAAAAATTAAACAGTTGCTCAGTGCTTCAGTTTGGCGCTGAAGAAGACAGCCAATCACTGCAGAGAACGGAACGGGTCACGTGCTGCTGCTGCTGCTGTTGCTCTGGAGGCGAGGAGGAGGCGCGACGTGTGCACAAACGGAAGACATGTGTCCCGGACCGTCCGGGTCACGGGACATCATGTCATTTTGGTGGGGACTTTTTAGTCCTCACCATATATTGGTGGGGACATGTCCCCATGGTCCCCACGCAAACCTACGCCCTTGCCTCACAGTGCCTTGCGAAAGTATTCGGCCCCCTTGAACCTTTCAACATTTCTCCATAT